CAGAGTCCGCCGACGAAAAGCTGGGTCCCCCGTAAGTGGGCCGTGGGCGCGTGAAAACGTGCCCCGCGCGCACGCGCCAGGCGCATGGTTTCTACCCCTCCGCGCACGCACTATTTTTTATCAGGCAGCATAGAAATATTCACCTGCTCGTGATAAGTACGTATACGTACTACACTCGAGAGCTGACAGGTCACTAGTGCCTCGCTATCACGCCGCAGAGCGTGATCCCACAATGGGTAATACGCAGTCCCCCCGATGAGAACTGAGAACGGGGCTCCGGAACTCGAAAGCAAGTCACCCCCTCGTTCTGGCGACTCCTGGCCAGGCGCAGGTCACCAAAGGCATTTGCCTCAAGACTGCCAATCCGCGCACGCACTGCTTCGAGTAAAGAATCCGCCGACGAGAAACTGGGGGACGGAGCCCCTACCGGGAACTTGGGAGAAGGAGGAGGAGGGAGAGGAGGAGGAGGAAGTCTCTGGTGTCTGCGTAGGCGCGCGTAGCCGAGGCAGCCATCGTAAGGAACGCTGCATCAGAAACGGAGAGGACTGTTTGGCCACGGCGAGCCTCGGCTACGAACAGGTTCCCCGACCTGGGTCTGAGGAGCGGCCCGCCAACCGGGGCCCTCCTGAGCCCAACGCGGTCCCCACCTCAGCGTCTTGACTGGAGCGGCAAGACCTCCCATCCTCGCCTCCCTCCTCCCTCCTCCCTCCTCCCTCCTCCCTCCTCCCTCCTCCCTCCTCCCTCCTCCTCCTCCTCCTCCTCCTCCTCCTCCTCCTCCTCCTCCTCCTCCTCGCGCACTCCAGGCAGCGACCCGAGCTGGCTAGAGAGCGGGCGCGGTCCACGCACCCGCCAGGAGACGGAGGTCGGAAATGCGGAGCTGCGCTCGGACGAGCACGTCTTGACACTGCTGCCCTTACCTTCGTTCACTTCGACACACAACCATGATGACGCGGTGGGTGACCAGCTCGGGGTGGGGAACATCGACCTGGAATGAATCGCCGATGCATCGCCGATAGATCGGCAATGGTCCCCCGACAGCGGACTCCCACGTCCCTGGTCCCTCATGGCGATGATAGACAGTCAGGGGTCGATGCATCCCCCCTGAGCCTATCGCCCCACCTAACATTACCCCTCTGCTCACTTCGACACCCCACCACTGCGGTCGGAAGATCGAGCCGCATCGCCGATGCATCGCCGATGTATCTGCGACACCGGCAATGCACTGACGCCGATGCATCGGCGATGCGGCGCGATCCTCCGACCCCACCTGCTCTAGCCCCACTTGGAAGGCCTGGAACACCTCTGTTTCTGCCTCCGTGCACCTTGACATACCACCAAACCCAGACGTCAGAAGGGATCCCGGCAGAGCGACCTGCCCGTGGAGCTCCTCTGTCAGGACAGGGCGCACAGGCCAGAGGCCAGAAATGACCACCGCGGCGATACACAGGATTGCTCGTGCAGCTGTTTTGGGGGTGTTCCCAGGCAGGCATTTTCCCATCTAGCGCTTCGCTGGAGGACTCGAATTTGATGTGGAAGAGGGCCGCAGCAGGGAGGGTCCCACAAGGGGGGGGGGGCGGGGAGCCGTGTCGCCTGAGACGCCCCCGCAATCTGTTCAGGAGCGATGCAATCGCCTCACTGCTGGCCACAAGTCTGGTCCCGACGGCCACGATTCATTGTAAGCAAGACACGAAGGTGCACGTGGGATCCGCCTCTTCACTCGGCGGCGAGCCCAGGGGTGAAGTGAGAAGGGGCGGGCTTCTGAGAGGGCCTGGACGTCCCCCCGCCTTGGAGAAGATGTCTAAGCCTTCTCCGAAGACACAGAAACCATCTCAGAAGGCGCGAGGACTTCTGAGAAGCCCCGCCGCCTTCTGAAGAGGTCTTCTTCGAATCCCCCTCCTTCGCTCGCCGCCGATTCACCCTTGCTGCTGTTAGAGGGCTGTGCGGGGGTACTCGCTGGTCGGAAGGAGTAGGTGGAAACATGGAGTAGGAAGGCGGACAACGTAGATTTGGGTCCAGGCCCTCCCAGATAATTACCTAACACAGCAAACGCATATCGATTTGACGCAGGAATGATCGACAATACACGTACTCCTAACCTTTTTTGGGGGGACTTCAATTAGGAGGGCCAAAACCATTAGGGACAACGTTTTTTTTTTTTTTTTTTTTTTTTTTTTTTTTTTTTTTTTTTTTTTTTTGCAGGTGTATCAGACCAAACCGCCAAGATCTATTATCCCTAATGCGAAGACGGGGACCGAAGTGAGGTCACGTCTTTATCGTGCTATTCGGAGTAAGGGTTCCTTTGTTCTCCATGGAAGAAGGCGCTTGCAGCAGACAGGAGTCTGGGGATCCAAAAATACTGCTTTCAACGAACGGCGTGTAACTCCAGGAGAACCCAGAATCGAATCGGTAAGCCGGATCTGCCATCGAAATGACTCGGATCGGCGGAAATCGGCAGCCGAGTCGGGAAAAGTCGAATCGGCGGGAATCGGCAAGCTAATATGCCACCAATGAAAAATCGAAACCCGAATCGGAATCCCAAGTCGAATCGAATCGGAATCGGAAGCCCTCGAAATCGGATCGAATCGAATCGGAGGAACCGAACTGAGCCCTGCAACTCTGGGGTGGGGACATCCGGCGTCTATAAAGTAGAGCTTGACGCAGATTGGGAAGGAGGGCGCTGGAAGTGGGGCGCTCGATGAAGGAAGGCACCTGAAGCAGACTGGGACCTGGAGATCCAAAAAATACCTGCCCTCAACGGGCGGCGTGGAGGAAGGGAGGGAAGGAGTGGGAGGAGATAGAGGAGGAGGAGGAGGAGGAGGAGGAGGAGGAGGAGGAGGAGGAGGAGGAGGAGGAGCAGGAGGAAGAAGAGGAGGAGGAGGAGGAGGAGGAGGAGGAGCTCTGGAGGGGCACCCCCGGCGCAGCCGAGGGCACCTGGCCGCCCGAGAGCGCAGAGGTCCACCACGGGCGGCCCGCCGCCGAGGGCCGAGGCGCTCCACGCGGAGGCCCCCCCCCGAGCGAGGAGCGGCGGCGAGCCCGAGGCACGCAGGGGCACGAGGGGTAAAACAGGGCCAGGATCGGGATAAATCCCTCCAGAGCGTGCCGGAGCGCTCTCAGAGCGTTCCGGAACGCTCTGGAGCGGCCGCGGCGCCCAACACATCCTCCAGACCCGCCGATTCTCAGAGATTTCGAGTTATCCCGATCCGATTTTGTCCCGATCTTCGCGTCGTTTTAACGAGGGGGCCCTCCCTGAGATCGGGGATGGTAATTAAGGGGCCACATGCGGACCCTGCCCCTGCCCCCCACGGTTTCTCAGGGGGAGGGTGGGGTTCGCTTCGTTCGGGAGCCTACGAGTGAAGTGAACCCCACCCTCCCCCTCAGAAATCGTGGGGGGTAGGGGTAGGGTTCGCATGTGGCCCCCTACAGAGCCCCCTTGAGGACGTGGTGCAGTGAAAACGACCTCGGGCCCAAACCTGGTGGGCGAGAGCCTGAAACACGACGGCCGCGGCGCCCTCCCGAGAACCGAGAGCGGACATTTCACTCATCGATGTGTCAGGGTGGGAATTCTGTCCACCCCCGATGCGACCCACGAGCGGCGAACATATCATGTCCGTATCCGCGCCCTCGCGGTCTGCACTCTGGGGCGCGATCCCGCGGACACGCCGCTGGACGGATGCGTTCCGCTGGGTCGCGGCCCAGGGGCCCGGCCTGAGAGGTCGCGGATGGGGAGATGTGCTTCGCCACTGAGGCGAGCTCAAGCATGCAGAGCACCCCTGAGACAAGCGACCACACCAGCGACGACCAAAAACGGGTCTTGCTCAAGATGGCACAGCGACCTTACGCGATGGTGACTGCCTCTCAGACCACCCCAACCCGACCCGAAGTTCAAAACTTGGGTTTTTTTTTTGGGGGGTATACGGGTTCCGTTTGAGTGTGTGTTTCAATGTTCCCCGACGCCCCCCCCCCCCCACCGGGAAATGGAGAGTAAATTGGGGCCTTCGGGTTAGGTTGGGGGTGCTTCGGCGAGTGGTGAGGTGGCTTAGACGGGCCGCCAGCGCGGCACGCTACATCAGGTAAGCGGGCGCTCACGCGGGACCTTACGCGAGAAGCTTGCGCGCCAGTGTTGGCGCAGACGACCCCGTTTTTTCCCGTCGCTCACATGTGATCCCTGCCCTTTGCAGCTCAACTCTTTGAGAGACTGGCAGAGGTTCAGGCCGTGAGGGATGGCTATTACCAGGTGAACCCCAAGCGAGGGTATCTGATACCCCAGCGTCGACTGGCCCCGCAGGGGTAGGGTTCGCAAGTGGTCGCAGATCGCAAGCTGGGGCTGCTCTGGAAGAAGGAAAGCTGCACAAGCAGAAACTGTTGGACTCCGCGCGGATCGGCGCCAGACCCCCCTACCTGGGGCTCCGAGCGCGAAGGGGCGGCGCCCGAGGCGACGCCAGGGGGGCCCAGCGCCGATCCGAGAAACCCACGCGGATCTCCCCGAGTGCTCAGCTCATGCCGTCTGCTCGTCGTGCCACTGCTGCACGACTGGCCCATGGCCTGTAGGGCTCCCCGATTCTCGTGGGGGGCGAAAGGGTAGGGTAGCAGAGGCTAGGGTGGCAGCACAGCTCCTGCAGCTGGTTTCCCTGGTGCCTCCCGGCGGCGGGAGGTGCCCACGTGCCGAGGAACGAGCCCTCAGCTGCGGGGCCGCGACCAGCTGCATGCAGCAGATCTCGCGACCCCCCTCCCCTATCCTCAGGAGGCAACTGCTGGGAGGTCGTCGTCGGAAAGATGAAGGAGGATGGAGTCCCATTTGGGAGCTATTTCGCCAGAGTGGGCCTCGGATTCAGCGGGATTCAGCCGGATTCACCGGGATCAAGCGGGATCAAGCGGGATCAAGCCGGATTTCGGACCAGGGCAAAATCAGAATTTGACCTCCCAAGAGTTGCATCCGAACTATCCAAATCCTTTCGTCCGGCCCGAGATTCCAGCGCGGTGCGGGAAGCTGGGCGGCGGACCGTCTCCGGCGCGTCCGGACCGCAGTCCACGACTTCTCGGGCGGGGACGGGCCTGCGGCAGGGGAGGGGGAGGCAAGACTGAAAGGGGGCTCGACAATATTTGGCGGCGCGCAGAGGCGGGTAGGGGAGGGGGTAAAGGATTCTCAGAAACACCCCTGCTCCTTAGAAGGCGCCGGCCCTGCACCTGCAGACAAGCAGTCCTTCTCCCTCCCCCGCACCCCATGCGCAACCGCGCTCGCAGCGGTCGATGTGTGCGTGTGTGTCGGACCTTTTCTAGCAATCAGTGAGGCTTCTGGACGCATCGAACCCAACATCCTTTCATTTGTTCAACCAGATCCCAACATGTTCCGCCTTCCGATTCAAAAATCATCCACCGTGCCTTTTGCACGTTGAGGCGTGGAAGAATGCCAAAGCCTGTCTAGTACGGATATTGTATACCAATAAGGACCCTCCCCCCTCTGGCCGCGTCTACTTGCATGCATCGCCCCCCTCTCCGAGGGCTACCTGGGCCACGATCCCTGTTAAAAAACAGATGATCTGCGTCCCGAGCTTCAAAGACAGCCATCATGGCCCAAGACGCCTCGAAGACGGCCAAAGATGACCCCAAGGCGGCCCAAGATGGCCTCAACACGGCACAGGATGCCCAAGAGAGCCCAAGAAGGCCACAAGAGGACCCCACAATCTTGGTTTTTGATTGAGTTTCGCATTATTTTCTTCTCGGGCTTCCGTCAGCTCAAGATGGCCCAGTATGCCTACAGAATGGCCTCATGAGGGTCCCCATGAGAGTCCCAAGATGGCCCAAAAAGACTACTACATGATGGCCCAAACAGCCTCTAAGGAGGGCCCACGCTGGCTGGAGAGGGCCTCGGGAGAGAGCCAATCCGGCCCAAAATGGTCCCGCGACATCCTCAAGACACCCTCCATACGGCCAGAGGAGCCCCAGACGGCCAGCGTGAGCCCGAGACGGCCAAGGATAGCCCCAAGATGGCCAAAGAGGGCCCCAAGACGGCCCCAAGGGACGACCAAGACTACTCCTCAGGAGTCCAGGCCAGCCCCAAGACGGCCCGGATGAGGTCCATGAGAGCTCCTAGAGAAGTGAAGACGAACGGTGTCACGAGTGGCGGTTTCCCTCTTATTCCTCCTTCGGCTCCTGTCCCTCCTCCTCGTCAACATAAGCAACATCATCCTCGTCCACATCATCCTCTTCAACCTCATCATCACCACCATCACAACCACCACAATCATCGTCAGCATTAGCATCAGCATCAGCGTCAGCGTCAGCATCATCGTCATCATCGTCGTCATCATCATCATCATCGGCATCAGCATCGTCACCATCAGCAGTATCGTCGTCACCATCGTTATCAGAATCAGCATCATCAGCATTATCATCATGATCATCATCATCATCATCATCAACATCATCATCACAATCATCATAATCGGCATCATCAACAGCATCATCATACTTATCAGCATAATAATCATCAGCATCATCGCCATCATCATCATCATCATCATCATCATCATCATCATCATCATCATCATCATCATGGCCATCATCATCACCACCATCACCACCACCATCATGATCAGCATCAGCAGAATCATCAGCATCATCATCAGCATCATCATCATCCTCAACAACATCATCATCATCAGCATCATTACCACCAGCGTCATCATCAGCGCCATCATCATCAGCATAATCAGCATCAGCAGCAGCATTGTCATCATCAGCATCATCATCACTACCACTATCAGCATCATCTTCATCAGCATCAGCATGATCATCATGATCAGTCTCAGCATTATAGTTATCTTCATCACCTCCATCACCACCACCATCATCATCAGCAGCATCACAATCATCATCAGCATCATCATCATCATTATCATCATCATTCTCCTCCTCCTCATCATCATCATCATCATCATCATCACCATAATCATCAGCAGCATCAGTATCATCATCAGCGTCATCATCAGCGTTGTCAAAATCATCAGCACACTCGTCGCTCTCGTCCTCCTCAACATCCCCATAAGCACATCACCATCACCATCATCAACAACATCAGGAACATCATCATCACCACCTCCGTCATCAGCAACCACAGCATCATCATGGATTCATACACATCGGCAGCCACAATCCACCATCTCATCGCCATCCTCATCACCATCGTCCTGACCGATTCGAACAGATGTCACCGAGATTGCTGGACTGGCACGGTGGCGGGACTTGCCGCAGGCAGCTGGATTTCTCCGAAAATGAAAATCGAGGTAGCCGGATGCAGTGCCTACTCACCTCTGGCGCGACCCTCCTCCCCCCCGTCCCCCCCGCCCCCCAGGTGCCCTCCACCCCCGGCGCCAGCCCGAGCGCGGTGGCGGAATCGCGGGGCAGCACACCACAGAATTTGCTCGGCCAAAAGGCTCGGTGTGTATATGTATACATATATAGAGAAAGAGAGAGAGAGAGAGAGAGAGAGAGAGAGAGACCTCAGCTTCTCGTGCCGTGGGATGTCGGAGCGTCTATACACCGAGGTCATTCGCCGAGCTCCTTGGTTCTTTGGCCGACCAGATGACGCGGTGTACACACCGAGCCCATCTGAAAGACCACGGAGCAGATGGTGAGGACGCGAGCGAGCGGCAACCCACATCAGGTCAAGGCCTTTCAAACGGTGTGGCAAATTAGAGATGTGGTCTGGATTCTGGTGAACGGGGAAAGCAAAATCGGAGGCGGCCAGGAGGGGGGCGTCCAAGAGGGGGGGGGCGCAAATCATGGCCGGCGGCATGTGCGCGGCACAAGGGGGAGGATGGGGACGTATTGAAATAAGAAGAGGCGCAATGACATCTGGGGAGATATCGTGGCCCCCGCCATGAGATTCACCCCCCCCTAATCACCCCCTCTTTGCCGCTTTGAAAAAGAAACCGATACCGCTACTCCCCAGACCTCTTCCGGGATGCGTTCTGACCAGAACTTCGAGGCGAATGCAGCGGTGGCGACGAGGGCCTCCCAGGAGGGCGAACAGGGGAAAGGTAGCGGTATAGATAGGACGACGACGACAACGACGACGACGACAACGACGACAACGACGACGACTACAATGTCGCATCGCACCAGGAAGCTGCTGGCCGCACATGTGCCCGTCTCGGGTCAGAGGACGGACATCCCTTCCTGCGAGGTGGCTCCACAGTTCACTCTGCACCCAGGGGCGACCCCCTCCTCCTCCTCCTCCTCCTCCTCCTCCTCCTCTTCTTCTCCTTAAGTTGTGCCCACGGGAGACCCACATCAGCACGGGCAAGGTGGAGGCTGAGGTGGCCCTCCTTTCTGTGAAGCTCTGGCATCTGCAGAAACACGTCTTGCGTCACGAGAAGGAGGAGGAGGAGGAGGAGGAGTGTCCAGCGGCCTCCATGCTGAAGCCGAAAGGGACGCGAAGAGAGCGAAACGCCCATATGCCTTTACCGTGCGTAACCATTTTTAAACCTGCGCGCTGGAGACTCCCGCTGGGCTCCCATAGTCGGAAATCTCATCGTAGACCACTGGCTCAGCAAATCAACCAGTCCAAAATGAGCAGCATGTTCTCCCCTTCGGGGAAGAGGTCTACTCCTCCCCCTATCCCCACGCCACCACGCTCCACCCCCCCAGCCTCTGGAACGGAAATGGCTGGTATAGTCTGGCTTTGCGGCCGCCCCTGGCCAACTGCGAAAGAAAGGCAACCCACGGACGGAAAGCCTTGCCGGTCGTATCCCCGATCGGAACGTCAGGGGGGCGCTTGTGACACTTGTTGCTGGGTGCCCTTGTCAGAGCCCAGCCGGCGCTGTCTTGAGGCCTCTTGTCGGGTGGGCCCCTTTGTGGCTCAGGCTTTGTTCCCAACATCCGTTGAGCTCCTGAATAAGAGTTGCTGCAACATACTCGTGGCTTCACTCAATCTTCTCCGTCTCACCACATTGCCAAGGCACCACTGACGTGGTGAACGGCTTCTGTTCTCGCCATCGCTCGGACGTCCATTCCCCGTGCATTTTTCGGTTTCGTGCGCGCTTTTGGTTGCAAGATGATCTAGAATACCCACAGTGGTCCTCGCCGAGAAAACATGCACACGTCCGAACGATGCCAAGTGTCAGGCTGTCTGTCTGTTGGGTGGGCCTAAGAGTTGGGGGGGCAGGAAGAGGGGGAAAGTAGAGCAGGAGGTCCCCAAGAGGCCCCTTAGAGCCCCCCAAAAGGGCTCCCAGAAGCCCCCACGAGGCCTCAAAAAGGCCTCAAGGCACCTCCTCTTCTTCCTCCTCATCCTCTTGCCTCACCTCCTCCGTTCTTCTCATATCCCCAGTCCCCCCAAGGGTTTCCACAACGGCTGGGGATCGACATGGTTCAATAGCTTGGCTAGACTTCGGCCGCATGGGCATTTCCAAAAGGCAGGGGGCGGCGGTGATTCGCCGTAGGCGTCTTAGACTACATGATCCCCGTTCGCTGAAGTACCAAATCCACATGGAGGCATTCAAGACGAAACGCATGCCGAGGTGGAGAGCCCAAACATGAAGACCGCAAGAGACCTGTCCAAACTACGGCTGATCTAAACCCTCGTGTCAGCTGTAACGAGTCGGGTCGCCAGGAGGGTCTGGCCCGCGATGTTAGAACAGCCCTCAACTAAAGGTCTGAACCCAAGGCTCGCGAGATGCCGAATGGCTGAAAGTTCCGTTTGGCCTAAGATAGCTTCGAGATGGCTCCAGATAACACACGGTTGCCTCTGGGATGGCGCAAGATGGCCCTACTTGGTGAATCTGGCCTGCACCATGCCGCCAAGAGGCCCCAAGGCAGCCACAATGCCCGGGCGTGTCGCATGAGACTTCCCCGCAATGTAGGATCCTGAAGCCTAACATGTGCAACAACTCCGCGGATGAAGGCGGGCCGCTTTCAAACTGTGGTCACTTGCAAGAACTTCACGGATTCAGTGCAAAGGGCTTTCAAGATGTTGCTCTCGCCGTAGCGCCGCGCACAATCCTTACACAAGTGCAGGAGTTTCACGAATCGACGGCGGGCCGTTTTTCAACATAAGGCCCTTGCCTTAGCACCGCGCACACCATTCTTAAACTATTGCAAGAGCTTCACGGATGGAGGGCGGCTCGTGTTCGAAATATGGCTCGCGCCGTAGCGTCGAACACATTCGCCATGAACAACTTGCAATACATTCGTGGACGTATCGCGGCTCCTTGTGAACATGTGGCTCTCATCTCAGCGCCGCGCGCATTCGTTTGAAGAGTTTGCAGCAATTTCCGAGCTTATCATGGCTGCCGCCTCTGAGATGATGTTTTCGCACGAGATCGGGTTGACATGGTGCAGCAATTACGTGGCTCGTAGTTTGAAGTCCCAAGAATGGTGTTTTGCACGAGTCAGGATCGTCAAGGCGCCAACAGAACGGTGAGTCGCGGCGCTGGCACCATAAGAATGGCGTTCTGGCACAATTCAGGATTGTCAAACGGTTGTCCCAACCGGGCTTCAGTGACAATTAACCCGTGTAGGGGTCCATGAAGAGGGAGCGTGGACGGAGGGTGTATTACAATACCGTTGGTGAATCTGGAGTTTGCACTCGACCGACAGACAAACATACAGGGTGCTAAACAGTACCGCTGCGGACTCCCAGCCTCATGAGGACTGCACGCACGGGGCTGCCTCAAACCTCGACAGTGGACTTGGTGAACCTCGAGGGCCACGGTGTTCCTCTTCAGCACCCTCCCTCCTCGTCCTCCCTCCTTCCCTCCCTCCTCTTCTACAGGCCTCCTAAGATGGGGTCCAGGTAGATGGGGTCGGACGACTGCGCCGCATCGCCGATGCATCGGCGATACGTCGCCGACAGACAATCTTGAAGGGGCCCACAAACACACAAATTAATACACACAAATAAAAAGATTCCCCAGATTTTCCCATATTTTCTGGGTCTTTGTCTTCCCCCCCACTTCCCATATTTTCCCATATTTTCCGGGGGATCGACGATGAATTGTGTCTGTGTGTTTCTTCCCCTCCTGAATTCTGACTCCACATCGAGCCGCATCGCCTTCGGTCCCATCTACTCTTACCCCGTCTTGGAAGCCTAAATCATCCATCCATGTTTTCCTCCCTCCCTCGGCAACGCGCAAGAGTGGCCCCGGCATTCCTATGGGCCACCACGACATGTTCTTAGAACCCAAATATGTTCTAGTAACAAACGAAAGCGATGCTCTTAGAACATAAAGCCGATGTGTTAAAGCAAGACAGCCCCTGCCAGAGATGCTCTAAGAGCATTTCGTGCAAACCACAAACGGTTACTAGAACATTCTTGGGCGCCCGAGTTATCCGGGGTAACTCGGGTCCGGGGTAACTCGGGTTTGGATTCCCGAAAAAGGAACCCGAGTTACCCCTGACCCGAGTTACCCCTGATGATTAGGGGCTCTGGACGCCCGAGTTATCTGGGGTAACTCGGGTCCGGGGTAACTGGGGTTTGGATTCCCGAAAAACGAACCCGAGTTATCCCTGACCCGAATTACCCCTGATGATTCGGGGCTCTGACATTCTGTGGTGGGCCTATAAGCAGGCCAGGACGCCTCGACACTGCTTGAACGACTCCCTCCCTCCCCCCGCGCCGCACGCAGGCGGGGGCGGCCTGCCGAGCAGGCGGAAGGCGATACATCGCCGATGCATCGGCGATGCACCGGCGATGCATCGTCGACGTCGGCGATGCATCGGCGACGTCGACGTGAAGCAAATCGGGCTCCACATCGAGCCGCATCGGCGATGCACCGGCGATGCGGCGCGGTCCTCCGACCACGTCTGCTCTGGCCCCACCTGGGAGGCCTCGACCAATGGGCCCGCACCAACGGTCACTCTGGCGACGGGTCACTCCTACGTGTATGAAGGGGCCCCAGGACACACACACACATGAATACACACAAATAACAATATCCCCCATATTTCCCCATCTTTTCTGGGTCTTTGTCTTCCCCCCCAATGCCCATATTTTCCCATACTTTCTGGGGAATCGAGGATTAAACAGTCTGTGTGTTTTTTTCCCTCCTGAGTGTAGTTAGTCGACTCCTTACCCTCCCTGCCTCTCTCCCCGCGCCGCGCGCCGGGCGGAGGCGGCCTGTCGAGCAGGCGGAAGGCGATGCTCATCGGCTCGGCGGCCTGCCGCGGGGGCCCGCTTCTCGGAGGCCGTGGGCCGTGTCGCGAGAGCGGCACTTGGTCGGGCACGTCCTCCCACAGGACGGTTGTGGACGACAACTTACAAATAGTGTGGAAACAAGTCGAAACCAATAGTCACTAACAGTGAAAAGCTCCTCCCCATGCTATTTTCTGACTATTTATTGGGATATTCCTCCTGCAGAGGGACACGCCCGACTTACGAGAGCAGCGCGCTGGGGAGCCCGGTTCGGAGAAGAAGCCGAGGAGCATCGAGCCGGGCAATCGGATCGGATCGGAACGCGCGTCGGATCGGGCCGCATCTACGCAGAAGGCATCCATACACCACCACCGTGCCAGGCCAGGGCTCTCCCGGCCCTGGCATGGTGTACACGCCCTCCTGGCCGAAGCCAGGAGGGTCTATACACCATCCTGGGGACCAGGATGGCCGTGGCCTGGCACGGTGGTGGTGTATGGATGCCTTCGTCGGAGCATCGGCACGGCATCGAGATCGAATCGGATCGGCTGCACCAGGAGGCACAATAACGCCACGTGAGCGTCGGGCCGCATCGGATCGCAGGGAACTCGAAATCGGGTCGGATCGGCGTGGCCGACGTCGACATCGAGCAGCGGATCGATCGAACCGAGATGGGGCCTGACACGTTCGTGCGAGTCTAGGGATGACACATGCAGGAACCGTGGGGCCACGGATGGTACACCCTGCGAAATGCTTTAGAAATCATGGGTTAAGAAATTCATAGCCTCAGAATTTGAATAAAAACCCAGAATGTCTATTCAAATCTTAGGATCTACATTGAAACATTAAGAATCATCGAGACTCTGGCCGAAAACTTGGGTTTTCTTAAGCATCGCCTAGAGTGTACATAATTGAGCGGCCCAAGGGCGCCAGAGCCGCGTCTCCCGACACCCCGCGGAGCAGAGCAGGCAGCACAACCTGAGACGCCGCAGCTCCGCGGCCGCCGCGACCGCAGGGGGAGAAAGTTGGGCGCGAGTGAGTGGGGCGGCGATGACTGGGGGGAGGGGGAGCCAGGTGCCTACTTCGGGCCCCAAAGGCCCGCCTTCTGGGCCCTGAAGGGCTCCTCTGGGGGCTCTCAAGGGCCCCTTCTCTGCACCCCTCGCTGCCCTCCCACTGAACGCCAACCCCCCGCCCCCCATTCCCCCCCCCCCCAGTCCCCCCCCCCCAACGAAATCTTTCGCCGCCGGGTGCGCTGTCCCCCTCCCTGAGACCCGGGGGCGGAGTCCGCCCTGGACAGTTCCAGGGCCAGCACTAGGGGGGAACCAAGGCTCTCGGGGGTGAAGCATCGAGTTGGAGTCGGCGATGCAGCGCCAGCAGATCGGCCATAGGCACCCGATAGGGACTGCGCGCGTTCCTGGGCGCGGTGGGCTGTCGGGTCCAAGTCGGCGATGAATCGGCGAGTGGGCGATTTGGGGGGAGATGCATACCCCCCTGAGCCTACACCCCCCCCAAGCGTGGATTACCCCTGGCAACAACGCCGTGCAAGCAACGAATCGTGCTGATGTTTTTTGTACTTGGTTTCCCTGACGCTCCCTGGAACCCACCAGAATTTCTTGCAGCTCTGGCACGACTGACCGTGAGGAGGAGGAGGAGGAGGAGGAGGAGGAGGAGGAGGAAGAGGAGGAGGAGGAGTGAGGAGGAGGAGAAGGAGGAGGAGGAGTGAGAGGAGAAGGGAAGCAGTGAGGAGGAGAGAGGTGGAAGAAGGAGGGGAGGAGGAGGGAGGAGGAGGAGGAGGAGGAGGAGGGAGGAGGAGGAGGAGGAGGAGGAGGAGGGAGGAGGAGGAGGAGGAGGAGGAGGAGGAGGAGGAGGAGGAGCGAGGAGGAGCAGGAGGAGGCCGCACCAGATCGACATGGAACGTCGGAAGCGGATCGGACCAGGCGGGCCGAAAACCGATGCCGAAGCGGATCTCGACCATCTCGGGATGGGCCCTGTCCGCGAGCGGCCCTGGGCCACCCGCCTCCCCAGAGTTAGGCCGGGCGTGACCTTCTACAGGCGGATGTTGGAAGAAGAGTTAAAACGACAATCTCACACAAACGCTCAAAAATCAATGAAAGCAGTGTAAGCAATCGACCCCGTAGTATGTTTTGGCTATTTTGGGATGTTCCTCCTGTAGAGGGACATGCCCGATCTAACTCTAGAGGAACACCAAGCGGCACAGACAGGACTCCTCCGAGACCCGCGCAGACGTCTTGGATGGGCGCAGGCTGCACATCGAGCCGCATCGCGGATGCACCGGCGATGCGGCGCGATCCTCCGACCCCACCGAGGAGGCCCAGCACCGGGAGGACGCCGTTCCCTCTTCTGGCCAGCGGCTCCCGCCTCGCCTCCCTCGGCTGCGCCGCGGCCCCCCTCGAATAACAAACAGCTGCATCGATATCGAAGTGAGGGAGCCGAGCAGTTAGTCATTGTCCCTGGGTGCGACAGCTCCTAGACGGCCCAAACGAATTCCATGGAACGTCCTCACATAGTGAAGACGACCAGTGTCGCATGTGATAGTCCTCCTCCTCCTCCTTCTCCTGCTCCTCCTCCTCCTCCTTTCTCCTTTCTCCTCCTCCTCCTCCTCCTCCTCCTCAGCATCAGCATCAGCATCAGCATCAGCATCAGCATCAGCATCAGCATCAGCATCAGCATCATCATCATCATCAGCATCATCATCATCATCATCATCATCATCGTCATCAACAGCATCATCACCATCACCATCATCATCAACAACGTCATCATCATTGTCAGCATGACCGGCATAATCACCATCCTCATCATCACCACCAACATCATCCTCATCATCACCATCCTGCTCATCATCATCCCCATAATAATCATCATCGTCATCATCAGCATCATCAACACTAACACCAACATCTTCTTCACCATCATCATCATCACCATCATCCTCAACAGCATGAACATCATCATCGACATCAACATCACCACCGTCATCGTCAATAATATCATCATCACCAAAATCATCATGTTCATCAACATCATCATCGACACCATACTCACCATCGCCATCACCAACACCATCATCACCAACATCAACATCATCACCATCAGTACCGTCAACCCCATTCTCTCCATCACCTTCATCGGCATCGCCATGGTCATCGTTATCATCATGACCACCATCACAATGCCATCATCATCACCGTCATAACCTGCATCATCATCAACGCCATCATCATCAACAACATCATCACAACAATGATCATCAGCATCATCAACCGTATCAGCATCACCATCACCATTACCATCATCATCATTGTCACCACCATCGGCATCTTCAATATCAGCATCATCACCATCATCACAGTCAGCAGCACCACCATCATCATCATCATCATCATCATCATCATCATCATCATCATCATCATCACTAGTATCACCATCATCGCCAGCATCATCATCATCAGCCCCATCCAGGTCATTATCACCCTCATCCTCATCACGGCTCTCCCAACCTCGAACAAACGCCACCCAGAATGCTGGGCTGGCACGGTGGCGGGAGTTGCCCCAAGCAACTGGATATCGTTGTGAAATGTGCTAGTTTACCTGCCGCGCCCATGCCTGCTAGGTAATCGTATGTATACAACCATCGCCACGCTCTTAGTGTTCGGAAAGAACCCGTAGTACGTCCGTAATCAATTGACCGCCTCATCAATTGTGTCAATTGCTCCTAGAAATCGGTCGCTGCTCCGTCATCGTGAATAAACTGTGCGGGATCCTGGTCCGCGTCACGTCCGCACCGATCATCCAAAGAAGAAGCAGGAAGAAAGAAAAACGAGCGGGAGGAGGATGAGAAGTAGAAGTCGTAGGAGGAGGGGGGAGGAGGGATAACGAGGGTGGAAGAAGAAAGACGGGGAAGTCAAGGAGGAGCTGGAAGATAAGCAACAATAACAATAACAAGAGGGAGAAGCAAGGAGGAGGATGGGATGTGGGGGTTGGGGAGGAGAGGCGATCCCAAGCAAGGGAGACATCATGATTGGAGTAGCGTGCAAAGTCGAAGCGCCCCGCGCCCGGAGCTGAGATAGAAGCCGCACCCTTGACAGACTGACGGGATGCGAGCCAGGCAGGAAGGGAGGGGGGGGAGGAGGAGGAGGAGGAGGAGGAGGAGGAGGAGGAGGAGGAGGAGGAGGAGGAGGAGGAGGAGGAGGAGGAGGAGGAGGAGGAGGGGAGGAGGACAAGCTAGGTGCGCTCGCGTCATATCTGACGTCCTACCCCTCCCTCCCATCCCTTACCATGGCGCTGATTTTCTCTATCCGCGGACGCGTGTCGTAGCGGACCTGTGGCTCCGCGCGCGCGTGCGTAGTGGGTGGTGGTGCGCGTGCGTGCGTGCGTGTGTGCGTGTGTGCGTGTGTGCGTGGTTGTGGTTGTGGTTATGGTTGTGGTTGTGGTTGTGGTGGTGGAGTGTTTGTGTGTGCGTGTGTGCGCGTGTGCTGTGGTGTGACGTGGTGTGGCGTCTTGGTGGTTTGGTGGTGGGCCAGGTGCGTGCGTGCGTGATGGCGGTGGTGGTGGCGGTGGTGGTGGTGGTGGTGTGTGCGTGTGCGTGTGTGTGTGTGTGTGCGTGTGTATGTGTGTGTGTGTGTGTGTGCGTGCGTGTGTGTCTGTGTGCGCGCGCGTGTGATGTGGTGTGACGCGGTGTAGCGTGGTGGTGGTGGGCGGTGCGCGTGCGTGCGTGCGTGCGTTGGTGGGTGAAGTGGCGGTGGGCGGGGCGGGGCGCGGTGCGGTGGTGACGGGCGGATGGGCGCGCGAGCAAGAGGCCCGCGCTGGGGCGAGAACGCCATCCTGAACGACGGAGGCAAAACACCGATCCGAAAATGAGACCCACGCTGCAGCGGGAGCACGATTCGGAACGAGCGGGGCCCGAAAATGAGGCCGGCGCCTCAGCGAGAGCTGCATTTGGAAAGAAATGCAAGCGAAAACCCAACTCCGGGGAAACCTGTGTGTGAAAAAACAATACGCGGGGGGGGTCGGCTACTCCCATTCCGTCATCAGGGGAAAAGGGAGAGTAGTATTCATATTGAGTAACTGTGGAGGAGGAGGAGGAGGAGGAAGAGGAAGAGCCTCTTGCAATCTCTGTTCTTGCCTGCGTTCCTCCTGCCGGGCTGGTCGTCCCCAGGAAGTCGTGCGCCCGCCTGCTCGGCCTCCGCCGAACCGAACAGGGCCAGCGCTATCCACTCGACCCAGTCGACGGCACCGCTCTTGTCGAGGTCCAACGCCTCCGCGCGGTGATCCCAGGGAAGCCGCCTCCTCCCCCTCCTCCCCCTCCCCCTCCCCCTCCCTCCTCCTCTCCTCCCTCCCCCCCCCTCCTCCTCTCTCCTCCTCTTCCTCCTCCTCCTCCTCCTCATCCTCCTCCTCCTGATGGGGCTCCTCCCCTGCTCCTCCTCCTCGTCCTCCCTCCGCCTCCTCCCTCTCCCCCTTCTGCTGGGAGGCTCCCCCCTCCTCTTTCTCCCCTTCTCCTGAGAGGCTCCTCCCCCCTCCTCCTCCTCCTCCTCCTCCTCCTTCATCTCCTCCTCCTCCTCCTCCTCTTCCTCCTCCTCCTCCTCCTCCTCCTCCCTCCTCGTCCTCCTCCTCCTCCGCCTCCTCCTCCTCCTCCTCCTCTTCGTCCTCCTGCTCCCCCTCCCTCTCTTCCTCTTCCTCCTGATCCTCTACCTCCTCCTCATCCTCCTCCTCCTCCTCCTCTGGTCTCGGCTTCCGCGTCCGGTGGTCCAGCGCCGTGAGCTGCTCGAGCGACGGCTGATCCTCCGGTACCGGCTGCTCGCCGCCCGTGAGGGCGTTGTAATTATGGCACCACTTGGTGTGCATGGCATCGTCCGCGAGAGGGGTCTCCGAGGCGTCACCTTGGTCCAACACCTCCGCCATTTTTACGATACGACCCTTGGCTGCAGCGGCCGCAGGGGCAGCCGGCGGCGCCACCGAGGCCGGCGGCGGCGGCGGCCCGAACGGGTCCACATTGATGTAGGCCTCCCTCGCTGCTGGGCCGCCTGCGGCTGCGAGGGCAATGCGGCGCCCCACGCGCCACACCAGCCCCCACTGCGCCACCTGGATCGGCAAGAGCGTTGCGCCGTTGAGCCTGGCGTTCCAGCCTGCTGCAACGATCGCGCCCGCCGGAGGAACTGCGACGTTGCGGATGTTGTGCCCCAAGTGGCCCACGACTTCCTCGATCGCCTTGAAGGCGTCGATGCTGTGGTCGGCCTACGTGACCAGCTCGCTGATGCTTGTCCACGCCATGGCCTCGCACGCATCGCACGCACGCCCCCCCTGGCAAGACCGCGATGGGGCGCGGGGCAGGCAAAAGGAAGTGCCGGAGGGCTGTGTCTGGGCGCAGCTCGGGCCACGGCACGCCACGCAAAGCCCCGCGGCATGACACGGCATGGCACGGCATGGCCACGGCGCCCGCGGCATGACACGCAAAGCTCCCCCACCCACCTGGTTGCAACGCAAGGGAATTCCAGGTTCTGCAATTACCCTTGCCTCGTAATTTTCAGATCCCAGAACAAATTTAGAGCACCTAGCTAGATAAAACGAAACAGCGTCTGCCCGACGCGCTGGGGAAGCTTCGCGCGAAGATCGTCGCCCTCAGGGCCCACCCTGTGATAACCGCCGCCCAATTTCGGATCTTCCTTGGTGCAGGCTAACGCTTCACACGACACAAACAGGGCGGCAACGATCAAAGGCATAGCCTCTCCGCAACACTGAGTTATTGAGATGAAACAAAAAAGGTAGAGCTCGATCTCGAACTTGTGGCGGTCCGTGCTGAGAGCCGGCTGGGCTGCCGCGTGGGCCTGCCGGGCGTCGCCCCGCCACGCTCGCTCCGCGCCACGCGCCGGCAGGGCGGCCCCTCTCGCGGCGCGCGCGCGCTCCTTCGGGCGCTCTGCCCGGAGGCCGCTGCACGCCGGCAGGGCCGCGGCCGCCGGGCAGACGGCGGCGGTCCTCTCCGGCGGCACTGCGCCAAGCCGTACGCGCTGGCGGCGCAGCTCGGCCGCATGACCGACGACGACGACGACGACGACGACGACGACGACGACGACGACGACGACCCCAAGTCTGCGACGAGACTGCTTCTTCAATCCGTGCGCTTCTCCTCTCCTGCCTCTGTGGCCCGGTGGTCGGGGAAGGGGTCAGGACCGACGGGCAGCTCGCCTCGGGCGCAGCTTCTTCTGGGTGCGCGCGCAGGGCGCAAGCCTCGAGGGAGGCCCGCGCGACCTCCTCCGCTGCGGGCAGTGACGTGGCGAAGGCGCTGGACACGAATTTCCAGCTGGCTGAGAGCTCGCCCATGTCGCTGGCCGATTTCCAGGGAGGCCGCGTACTCTCGGGTCGGGCGAAAGGGGGGGATAGCAAAGTGGGGGTTTGAGAATCAGCTCACGTAGCTGATTTTCCCGGCGCCTCCCGGCGCCGGAGGCGGCTATGTATCGAGGAGTGGGCCCCTCGGTGAGGCCGAAACCAGCTGCATGCAGCAAATTTCGTAACCCCCCCTTTCCCAATCCCCCCTTTCGCCCGGCCCGATTCTCACGGCCGGCAAAAACCGTCCACTGCAGGACGGGCTCGTGGCAGGCGCCGGGCCACCGCAGGCCGACATTCTGTCGTGCGCCGCGCTGTGTGCTGGGCAAGCCGATCTTTTCCCCAAGATCTGCGGCTGGTGCCGCCGAGGGCGAGGCGTGTGCGCCTCATTTCCTCTTCCGCGTTGAGGAATAGCACAAAGCCTTTTTGGGGGTGAGCGAATTTTTCAGGGGCTCGAGCTTCAACGGATTCTCCTCCCTACCCCCCCCTCCCCTCCTCAAATGTCCGTGACCTGCCCTTGCTTCCAGGGCTGGCTGAAGCACGAACATTCTACGCATGTTTCGCAGATCCGACGAAAAATCAACGTTGGGTTGAATCACCCATCGGTCGGAAGAAATAGGCAGAAACATGAAGTCGGAAGGCGTTGCAAATAGATTGGGCCCCGTTCGCCCCCCCAAGGAGGACGGAGAAAGGGGTGAAGCCACTCGGTCATGGAAGCAGGAAGGCGCCGAAAGTAGATTGGCAGCTGGGGATCCCAAACCACCCTCTTTCAACGACCGATGGGTGATCATGCAGTGGATCCCCGTTTGGACTACACCCTGCGAATTGCTTTAGAAATCATGGGTTGAGAAATTCATAGTCTCAAAATTTAGATAAAAACCCAGAATGTCTATTCAAATCTTGGGATTTACATTGAAACATTAAGAATAATCGAGACTCTGGCCGAACACTTGGGTTTTCTTAAGCATCGCCTAGAGTGTAAGTTTTTTGACGAATCGTGATCGGAGGCTGCGGTGGTGCGCTCCGCTCGTGGGCCCTCCCCAGAGGTCGCAGGGCTCGGCCGGGCATACCGCACCCTGGCTCTGTAAAAGCGGGGGCCCTCGGTGGGCCGCGCGCGCGCGAGTCCTCCGTCGGAAGGCGCCCCTCCCCGTCGGCGGCCTCGCTAGGGGGCAAACAAACCTACCTCGCCTTTGACCACCCTCGCTTCCAAGAGATACCAAGCGATGCCAAACTACGGCCTGTACTGGTCAGGCCGCTTGACGAGGAGGCGCGTGGTATGACTTGGTTTTGCCTGGAAGCGAAAGCGGGGTAGGTAATTCACGCTCTGACTCGCGGCAGCTCGTGAGGACTGCGGCCGCGGCGTCAGAGACGCGGGCAGGTGCCTCCGCCAAGCAACGGGGCCGTCGTTCTGCACCACCCCTCCGCACGCCCAGAAAAACATGTTTGGGCCGAGCAGCCTCCGAGCACATACAGTGTCAAGCCTGGCTCTCAAATCTGGGGCGCTTGGGGAGACCAAAGCGTACCAATGCCGCTACTCCCCGGACCTCTCCCGGGGCGCGTTCCGACCAGGATTCCGAGGCGAATCCAGCGGTGGCGACGAGGGCCCCCCAGGAGGCCCACCGAGCGGAAAACCAGGGAAGGCTAAAGGTATGGGTGCCCTTCCCTCCACTGAGTCACTGGTACTCTTTTTTTGCGCCCCCTGAGCATTGGAGGGCCGGGGAGCGCAGCACGGGGGCTCGCCTGCACCGACTGGACCAGGCGCTCCCTGGGCAGGTCCTCGCGGGCGCGCGCCGGGGGCGCCAAAAAGAGCGCCCGAGGGAGGGCGCCTGCCGCGCCCGCCGGCCACGACGCGCCGCCGCGAGGGGAGGAGGGCAGGGGGGACCCGATCTCCGACGAAGCAAAGAGGCGCGGGAAGGACCCGCAAGTCATGGCGAAGTATCATTTTCGAGCCGGGCGTGTTCACCCAATGTCGGGCCATGGGAACCTCACTGATGCATCCGGCTCGAAAACGAAACAGAAAAATGAAATCTTGGGCTCCAATCGTGAGGTCCCATGATTTCGAGACGTCGGACCTCAGGGGGGGCTGGACCTCGGGGTGCGCTCCAACATTTGCGCCTCGCCGAAAACTTTTTTGAGCGCCCGAATCGTCCAATGTGCCTCTGGAGACCTAAGGCATGACCCGACACCGCGACGATGACGACGACGACGACCCCTAATCTCCGACGATCTCATTTCTTAAATTGGGCATTTGTTTTTCTGCCCCTGAAGCCCGCTGTCGTGCCCAGGGCGGTAAAACAAATATCCAGGGAAGGGGTCGGGATCTCTCTCTGGGGCCGCGAACTGAAAAACCCAGAATGACCCAGAACGGAAAATAATTACCGATACCGATACCTTTTGCCGCTTTGGGCCTCCTGGGAGGCGGTCCGGGGAGTAGCGGTATTGGTATCCAGGGCCCCCCCGACCCTCCGACGTCGTGATGCAATTTCGCAGCATGGGCCCCGAAATGCCCCGAACCCGTGCCCTGACCGCCGACCAAAACAAAACCTTCGAACGCCTTGACAACATGAACAAAGTGGAATGCCTCGTATCCTCGCTGCGACCTGGAACCGTGCGAAACGGCCCAAGATGAAGAGCCGGCCCTGGGGAAAGGATCGAGACTTCTCAAGATCCCGCATGGAAGAAAAACGCACATCTGATTCCCCCACTCGTCCATAAACTTCAACCCTGCCCTACACCTCCTTTTCCTCCTCTTTCTCCTTGTGTGACCTCTTGTTCTTATCATCGTTGTCTTCATCCTGTTTTTCATTGCAGGCCAGGGCCGGCGCCGCTATCCTGAGGAATTTCTGGAATTTCTGGAATTTCTGGAATTCCTGTGGAATGTCTGGACTATTTCTGGAATTTTTGGAATGTTTGGAATTTCTGGAATTTCTGGAATTTATCAAACCTCTGGTATCCTTCTGACTAGTACAAGATGGTAGACCTTCAGAAATCCAGAAATTCCAGAAATTCCAGAAATTCCCAAAATTCCAGAA